GCTACCAGGTCCAGTTTGAGTTGTGTGCTTTAAAAAGATGGATTTTACACTATGTGAATTATATGTTGTCATAGACACTGTTCCATTGCTGTGCAGAGACACCATGACCAAGGCAACTCCTACAAAAGAAAGCATTTAATTGGGGGCTTGATTATAGTTTCAGAGGCTTAGTTCATTATCATCATGGCAGGGAGCATGGCAGCACGCAGACATGGTGCTGGAGACGTAGCTGAGAGTTACATCCTGATCTGCAAGCGTAGTGGGGCAGGACTGGGCCTGGTGTTGGTTTCTGAAACCTCAGAATCCAACCCCAGTGACACATTTTCTCCAGTAAGGCCACACCTTTTACATCAAGACTATAACTCCTAATCCAATCCTTCTCAAATAAGGCAACTCCTTGGTGACTAAGCAGTCAATATATGAGCATATGGGGGTCATTCTTAATCAAACTGCCACAAATGTCATTAAAGCTGTTATTTTGCCAGGTGGTGGTAACGCACGCCTTTAATCTCAGCACTTGGGAGGCAGAGGTAGGTGGATCTCTGTGAGGTGGAGGCCAGACTGGTCTACAAATAGAGTTCCAGGACAGCTAGGGTTGTTACACAGAGAAACCCTTTCTTGGAAAACCAAAAAGAGCTGTTATTTTTATCATAAACATTATGATTTGTTATTTCCTAAAAGCAAATATCTAGGTGGAAGAAAATAAAGCCAGCAGCCTATGTACTACCTATGTGGTAGCACAATGTCACTTTGCACATGCCTTCTTTTTTAAAAATTTGATTGATTTATCTTATGTGTATGGATGATTTGCCTGCAGGTGTGTCTGTGTACCACACACACGCCTGGTGCCCTTGGAGTCCAGAAGAAGACACTGGATTCCCTGGAACTGGAGTTAGATAGTTGTCAGCTGCCACATGGGTGCTCTTAACTGCTGAGACATTTTCCCCAGCTTCCGGATGCCTTGATTTTAAACAGTTCTTCATAAAGTGGAATATATACAGAGGAAATTCATGCTGGGAACATATTCACAAAGAGCAATGAAAATGACAGTCCATTGTTAAGAAAACATACAATAAGGATACAGGAGTATTCCTTGAATAATCTGAAAGTCTATATATGTTAGACAAGGAGTAATCAGCTGCTGTGCTAAAATTGGAATTTAGACTACTAGAGTAAGACTGCCATCGTAGGCAGCAAAATGGCTGTGGGGGGGGGGGGCGGAATTTTGCCATCAAGCCGATGACCTGAGCTCAAACCCCTGAATTCACAGTGGAAAGAGAGAATAGTCTTTCAAATATGTATGCACATATACTCAATAATAGAATTAAATAGAGCTAAGAAAACCTTAAAATAACAAAAGAAAAGTTAAGGCCTGTATTAAGAGACAATAAAGTTTCTGTCAATTAATTCTAGGGCCAACTAGAAATATATCATTGATCAAGGATCTCATGGCAATAAGTTGTGCATGATGGGAGATATTAAACTGTATGATCTGAATTATCCTTTGGAGTTCCAGAATTTGATAGTTCCATGTTCAAGTTCTACAATTTACTGTCATTATCAAATTACATATAGGCTTTGAAAAAGATATGTTTGTTTGTAGGAAGTATACTGTAAATCCAAGAATAAATAAATTGAACTGAGGCATGTAACTTAGTGGTAGAGAGCTTTGGCTAGCATACGGGGATCCTAGGTTTAATCCCTGGTATTGAAGGGAAAAATAAGTGGGTAAAAGGTGCTTGCCGCAAGCCAGACAACCTAAGTTGGATCACTGAACCCACATAGTGGGAAGAGAGGAGCAACTCCTCAAAACTGTCTTTCTTACCTCCACATTTGTGTGAATGCATGCACACTGGCTCTAGCTCTCGCTCACGCTTTTCCTATTGCTCACTCTCTCACGTGAGCACGTGTAAACACACACACACACACACACACACACACAAATAAATAAATAAATAAATAAATAAATAAATAAATAGTAATTAAAAAACCCATGTTGTCCCTGAGAACTTGGTTCTCAAGCTTACAGTTGCTGCCAGAAGTCTGGTGTCATGGGATTGGGGGTCACTTTGGCGTGTAGCCTAACAGGCCTTGTAGCTGCTTGCTACAGGGAGTTTTATAGGGGTTCTGCTCGAGGTTCTTTTTTTTTTTTTGACACCAAGGAAATAAAGGTAAGCAAGGCATCAGGAGCTCTCAATCTGTTATTTATTCATTTTTAAAATGTATTTGTTTACTTAGTGTGTGTGCGCATATGTGTGTGTACATTGAGTGCCTGTGGAAGTCAGAGGGTGACCTGGCCTGCTGAAATTGATTTTCTCCTTCTACCATGAGGGTCCTTGGGATTGAACTCAGGTCATTAGGCTTGGGAGTAAGCATGTCAAAAACATAAATTTGGCATTTGGGCTACATACAAAAGAACACTCTCTTACTGAGAAAGAAAACAAAGGAAAAAGAGAGTAGTTCTTTTTTTTTGTTTGTTTGTTTGGGTTTGTTGTTGTTTTTGAGACAGGGTTTCTCTGTGTAGTTTTGGAGCCTGTCCTGGATCTTGCTCTGTACACCAACTGGCCTCGAACTCACAGAGATCCACCTGGCTCTGCCTCCTGAGTGCTGGGATTAAAAGCGTGCACCACCACCGCCCGGCACCAAAAGCAGTTCTTTATCATTGACCACTTCTTCAAGATCAGAAAAAATGTGTAACAACAGGACATAATATACACTTTCCCATTCACAACTGATTTCTTAAAATTGCAAATGAAGGTGGGAGCAGTTATTATACAGCTAGAAGTCAGTGATGATGGACCACAACAGCCAAAGTATTCAATAATTATTTTTATTTTTAGACGGTCTGTGTAGACCCCTCACACACACCAGCCTGGAATTCAGCGAGTTCTGCCTGACTCTGCTTCCCAAGTACTGCCGTTAAAAATATGTGCCATCATACCCTGATGTGTAATAATTTTTAAAATGGAGCAGTGTTTTAATCACATGTTCCCCTATGATTTAATTATTAGTGTATAAATAAAAGGTTTATAATAAGAATAAATGCTTTTGAAATACACTTTAGTGTTTGTGGGGTCTGAGAAAGAATAAAATATGAACTATAAGGGAACTGAATCGTACACTGGTTGAGGCTGTTGCTTTAAATGTCACTAGGTTTGATTGACTTGATTTGGTTGAATCTTGGAAAATGGGCTACAAGGTATTATTTCACAGAACAAAGCTGTTTTAGAGTTATCACTAGTTTTCATGACTGGTGTTTTCATTAGACCCTTAAGAAGTGAAACATGTTTTCTCATAGTTAGCGACAAGTCCCTTTCTACTGCATGTTTTTCTGACTATTCTTTGCTTACATTCTGCAGGTGTTCGCTTTGCTTTCCCTTGAACCTGCAGCGGGAGGGCAAACTGAACTTCACTAAACACAATTCCTAAGTTGCTGGGCAGGACAGGGCAATGAAGCTTGGGGACAGTGGGCTAAACATTCATGGGAACACCATGTGACTGAGGATTTTTGTCTGTTTTCTTCGAAGCATAACCTTTTTGAAAATATTTGGTGTTTTATTCAAGTTGGGATGGTTTTTTTAGATTTATTTATTGAAATTTTATTGTACTTGTCCTTAGTTAATGACCACCAGTTATATCCATGTTTGTTTGTTTTTAATGACTGAATAGTATTCTGTGGTGTGTGGGGACCACACTTTGTTTATCCGTTCATGAGCTGATGAACATTTCGTTTTTTTTTTCTATTTCTTGGCTAATTGTTAACCATGCTGTGCTAAGTAAATATTTTAAGTTACTTAGTAAGTTTTGAAGTGAGGTGGTTTTTTTTTGTTTGTTTGTTTTTGTTTTTGTTTTTTTTTTTTTGGTTTTTCGAGACAGGGTTTCTCTGTGTAGCTTTGCGCCTTTCCTGGAACTCATTCTGTAGCCCAGGCTGGCATCAAACTCACAGAGATCTGCCTGCCTCTGACTCCCGAGTGCTGGGATTAAAGGTGTGTGCCACCACTGCCCGACTTGAAGTGAGTTTTTAATCCACTCTGACAATCTCTGTCTTCTAAGCAATCTGTTTAGACCACTTAAATTAAAAGAATGCTGGATATGATGGTGTATGCCTTGTATCCTAACACTCAGGAGGCAGGTGGGTTTTTCTGAGTTTGAGACCAGCCTGGTCCTCATAGAGAATTACAGGCCAGCCAGGACTGCATAGTGAGACCCTATCTCAAAAGTAAAATTAAAATGAGTGTTGGTGGGATTTAAATAAGACATGTCTGTAGCAACGCCTGCGTTACTACTCGGTCACCATGTCTGAGCGAGGGGCTGAGGATTAAAAAAAGAGACAAGCCAGCCGGTCATTCCTCTCAGTAGAATGCCCTTTATTGAAGGAGGGAGGAGGCCTTAAATACAGACTTACAGCACAGTGGAAGAACCTGGGAGGGCAAAAGTTCACTACAGATGTTTTACATTCTAGCATTACACCAATATGCAGGATACGCAAACAAGGAACCTCCGGTAAACAGTTTAGGAGGAAGGAAACCGGCAGGGAATTAGCATGGGGAGGACACCTGATCAAGGTCAGCAAGCAAGGCAACAGCTACCCAAGGAACGGGGGTCAGGGCCCAACACATGTCTCTTAATTCTGTTTCTTTCTCCTGTTCCTATTTTGTTCCCCTCCTGTGGATTACATGAAAACTTTTAAAATTTCATTGTGATTTATCTGTACTGCTATATAATGCATTTAATATAGTCAATTTTAGTGTCTGCTGCAGGTATTACAATATACATATTAACTTCTCACACTCCGCTGACATTGACATTTTAAATTGTGTAATCTCACTCCTTTTAGGTCTGCTTAACTTCTTTTTAAAAATACATTTTTAAGTATTTCAGCTGCAGAAGGAGAGCATTATGCTAGATGGCATTTATTTTTTGAGGTTTCCACTCTCAAACATAATTTTAAAAACACATAAGGGAGCTGGAGAAATAGCTCAGCAGTTAAGAGTGCTTACCAATCTTCACGAGGACCCAGGTGTGATTCCAAGAACCCATATTAGTGCACTCACAACCACCTCTAACTCCAGTTCCAGGGGTTCGGACATCCTCTGGCCTCCTTCAGCAGGCCTCCAATGGCACTAGAAACACATGGTGCACAATAATCTCACACAGGTGCACACACATAAAAATAAAGAAACCTTAAAAACACATGAGAGTCCATTCTACTCATCCTTAGTTTTACTCATTTTAATGTTTTCTTTTTTCTTCATAGAATGACATTATTTTTTTGACATTTTAAGGGTGTTTCTGCTGTTCACAAATTCTCCTAATCTCCTTTTTTTCATGACTGTTTATATTTCCCCTTAATTCTGAAAGGATCTATTAATGAATGGAGAATTTGTGTTTGGGAACAGATGGGAAAGTGGATCATGGATCAGTCCTGTTGTACTATCTCTTTAATGTTTCAGGTTTCCCCTTAAAAAGCAAAACAAAACAAAATCTCAACCACATAAGTAGAACAATGATCCAAGTATATGTGAATGTTCTGGTCCTGTAAACAGTTGTACAGGAAGTCATAGAGCTATTAAAATGTGATGGCGAACAGTCATTTTGAGAGGAATACTCAGGTATAACTTCCTTGTAAAACCTTAAAAGGCAATAAGGTGACTGTTTTTAAACTTACAACCTTAGGGAAGCGTGAGGATTTCCTGCTTCATTAAATATATAGGGCTTTCGTGGTATTTAGTTTAGTTTACATAACATAAAATTGGGTGAAAAAAATAAGAGCATTTAAGCACACTAGTGTGTCAGGGATCATAAACAAGTAGCTAATGTAAATTCAAGACAAACTTTTTTAGCAACCAGGATAAACAGTTTAAAAGAGGCATTCTTAGAAATCCAGGGACTATGTTAAAATTTGCTAACAAAGAAATACACAGCACTAGTAAATATAATAAAAAAATACCTGAATATGGGTTCGGTAGCACTCCATGGTACAGTTACATTTCTATTTGAATTCAAGAAAGGTGCAGTGTTTGGCTGGCCACATATCCTGAGGATACTGTGGAAGAAGGATGAAGGTGTGCATAGGCCGGGGCTTCTGGATATGGTTTATGTACAACATCAACAAAATGGTCAAAACCTGCTAAACCTCCATTATCCTAGGAGATTCACAGGAGCAAACTCTGGCACTGGCACCTACTAAACCACTTGGTCCTTGGGCATAGGCACTGAGCAGCCAGGAAGGAGGTGGACATGAACTCAACTGTGTGGGGCTGGATCACACGGGTTTAGTGAGGGGGGCCTAAGCTCAACAGAGACCTGCCATGAGAAACCACGGATGGGGCCCCTAAACTAGCAGCTCCAGGCCTAGGCCTCAGGGTTCGGGGGGCGGGGCTCTTTACCGGGTCTCTGAGACTAGTCTGCAAGCATGCTGCGGGGTCTCCATCTCCATCATTCAGATCCTGCAGCGAGTAGGCGGAGCTGAGCAGCTGCAGGTCTGGCGGGAGGGCGCGAATCCACTGAAGCTGTAGGGTGGTGGGTGGAGCACTAAAGGCTTCAGGGACCCGGGACCCCGAGGGCAGGGCTTTGGACCGTGGGGGGAGGAGATGGGGGGTTGGGGCCGCGTGGCACACTGGGCTGGCTCTGCTGCAGGTGAGCGGGTGAGCCAGGTCAATGGCGGTGACTACAGCCCTGTCTGCTGCAGCGGCGGCTGCGGCTCTATCAGGCCTGGCAATGCGACTGTCGCGTTGGGCGGCGACACGCGGCTCCTACAGCGCCTTCTGCAAGGGGCTCACGCGCACGCTGCTCACCTTCTTCGACCTGGCCTGGCGGCTGCGCGTGAACTTCCCTTACTTCTACATGGTGGCCTCGGTGATGCTCAATGTCCGCCTGCAGGTGCGGATCGAGTGAGCCGTCGCCCGGCACCACGGCGGCCCCTCGGGCGGAGAGCGCCATCCGCGCCACCCGCGCCAGGCGGCCGCGGGAAGGACCGTGGGGCCCCGCAGTGCCCAGAGACCGCGGCGGGGGGCGCAGGCGGGACGGCCCGGACCCCTCCATTTTAGGTCTCCTCCGCGGAGGGCCCCAGGTACCATATCCCATACCGCAAAAAACCTTCACAGCCGAGTCCTTTTCCACTGCATCCAGAGAATCACCAGAGTCTGGCAAACCTGTTGCCTCCCATTGGCCAGAAAGGGGGAACACTCGAAAGAGGGGATGTTACCGCAGGATTTACCAGGCCCTGTGCAGGAAGGTAGGTGCAGACAGGTTGGAATGGAGGCTGGTGGGTATGACTGGTTTGTGGGGATAGGGAATACACCATGGCACACATGCTGCTTAGCCAAGCTTGGAAACTGAAAAGGTAGGCGAGGCTCTCCCGTGTTCCCTGCTGGTGGTTCCATGATTGGGTATTGGGCGGCCATGACATCTTGGAGGGCCAGCTCATCACCAACACACAGACAGGAAGCCCCTCCCACCCACCTTCCAGGTCTCAAGTCCGTTTTTTTTTTTTTTTTTTTTTGTGAAAGCCACCTGAGATGTAACCTGAACCCTGAGTGGGAGAGGATTGGGCCAGTGAGCCACCAGGAAGGTCCCATGAGGGGTAAAGATTTGTCCATTGATCCTTACCTGTTGGGTGGTCAGATAAAAAGGACAGTTCTTTTCTGAACCAAACCTCAGGTCTGTCCCCTTCTTTGCATGGAGACCCAAGGATAGTCTCTGCAGCTCTACACAGCCCTTCTCCAAACTGCTCCTGCACTGTTGGGGATCGGGCAGGGTCTGTCCTCTGCCTGCTCCTCCTGCCCTCCCTCTTGCTCCCCTAACCCGGTCTGAGGGCATTCCTCAGGCTCTGCATCTGCAGACAGGAAAGAACAGGAACTATTCCTCCCTGTCTGCCCAGGCTCCCTGCAGCACCTGCGATCACACTCTCCAGACCCAGAAGCCCATCCACCAGCCATGAGCAGCCTGGCAGCTGTGTACCACAGGATCTGGGGAAGTGGTAAGGACTCCAGGAGCAGGCAGCTGCTGTCGGGATAGGGTAGAGAAGGAGAGTGCACAGGAGGCCAGCTCTGAAGTCTCCCTCTTTTTTATTTCAGGTCTTGCTCTTCTAGGTGATGGCTCACCACTTCTGAGATCATTTCAAGATGGATCCCTACATAGAGATGCAGTTCCTGTAGCAGCCGGGGGAGCAGCCGAGTGAAGAGCCTACCTAGAAGAAAGGCCCTTCTGGTAGAGGCCTAGAGGGGTGGCGTGGCTCAGGTCTTCTGGCCCTTCCATAGAAAAGATGCCAGTGTACTTTGGGCACTGATATCTCCTAGCAACACTGTGAGGGAGAGGTATTCTCCCACCTCAGGAACTCAGCAGGGCTCAATGAAAGGCGTGGGATTTGCCCTTGTTACACAGAATAGTGGGGAGCTTGGCCTGCCCTGGACCTCCATTCCCCCACCTCCTCTGCAGTCTTCTTTGTGACCTGGCAGGACATTGGGGTTGGGAGGGAGTAGAGAGCTGCCAGGGGACCTAGGGAGAAAGAGACACCATGGGGTAGGGAAGCTGGGCATCTACCTTTCCTGGGAGTGGTCTAGAAGACAGGCCAGTAGTTGAGTTCATGAACAGAGAGGAAGGTTCGAGAACTTCCTGAAATGTCTAGTCCTCCCTGCCTCTCTGGTGCTTGACCAAGGACTCCTGAGCAGTTGTGTGCTAGTGGACTGCAAATGTGGTTCATGGGAGGCTGAGGAACTACGGGCTGAAACCCATGGTTTGTATGGCCCTGTTTCTCTGTTCCTAGACTTGCAGCCCCATCCCCAGCATCACATGGGAAAAATCTCCTCCAGATAGGTGGAGGACAGTCTGTCCAGGAGGCCCTGCATAGGCTAGAGTCTCCAAATGCCCAAGGACAGCCCAAGGGATACTTTTACTACTTATCCAACACTCCCCCAGCTTTTCTGATGCTGGTATCTCAAGGTCCGTGCATTCCATTCCTGATGCAGAAACCTTCAGCATGCCAGCCAGCCCCAGGGACAGAGTGACCCATCTGCCTACTTGGAGTCAGAGACCCAAATGGAGATCTGTCTCAGCTGAAGGACACAAGCTGAAAGGTGGCTGCCACATGTTCTCCGCTCTTTGCCATAGCCCAGGACCCGATGGTTTCCTTCTGCCAAGTCTCGCTGAGTAGTCTGTATATGTATGTTTGAATGCATGTGTGCACGCCTGTGTGTAAACATGTGTGATGGAGATGGAGCTGTTGGGTAGCGACAAGAGCTCCTGGGAATCTCCTGTTTTCTGTGTACAGGAGGGATCATGGACTACTTGGAGAAATGGGTATGGAGTCTGAGGCTCTGCCTTCTTAGACCTCCCAGTCCAGGGAAGCCCCTCCCTGCTCATGCTCAGGCATGGACTATGGTGTGAGGTCAGAGGCACTGGCATTGGACTGGATTCTGGGCCCAGTGGCGTCAGTCAGGAGACGGGGATAGAAGGAGGACTCAGCTTTGTGTTCCTGTCCCATTCTGGCCCTGAGTAGTCTGAGCTTCTGCGTCCCCCCCTCCCCCTGGGCTCCTTTTGTTCCTCCATGGTGCCCTCGCTGTGTGATGGGGTGGTGATGCACTTTATTTCCTTGCAGTCTGCATTGCAGGCTGCGGAGCTTCGATCAGTTCGGAGACTTGACCTGGATGAGCGTACATTTCCTTGTGTGATGAACTCCGCATTGCCAGTGTTGTCTGGTCAGAGATGCAGTTCCGATGTTGTCACTTGTTGTTGTCTCCCAAAGTTAGAAGAAAATCCTCGAGTTCAGTACACCAAATACTGCCTGCACGCCTCCTGTTTTTCTTGGGTGCCATACCGTACCTGGGTGGGGAAGTGGGTGGGGTACGGGACAGCAAGCTCCAAGCCCAGAGGGTCATCCAGAGCTGTGCAGGCAAAGTGCAGCTTCAGAGCTTCCGTCTAGACTGTCCTTGACAGGACCACCACCCTCTGCTCCCCCTGACCAAGGGGGTAACAGTCGAGCCGGCCCTGAAGGTGGCAGTTATTCCTGTCCAGTATTCAGGGAAAGAAGCTGAAGCAAAGGTTCTCGTTCTTTCCAGGTCTGGACTCAATGTGTTTAATTCCAGTAGAACCTCGAGAGTGAGGAGAAATGCAACAGCGCTCTGCAGGCCCCTCTGTGACGCCCAGAGACCAGTCCCTCTGCAGCAGCAGGCGGTAAAGCCCTCACTGCCTTTTGGGCAGCAGCTTGCTAGGGACTCAAGAGATGATGAACCACCCACCACATGCTGGAGCTGCATGCCTCCTTTTCTATCATGGCTTTATCTCAGTTCTCTCAGAGCTCCATTCTGAGGGGTCACCAGAGAAGCCAGAAACACCAGGGCTGGGGTGAGGTGGACCTTAGCAAGAGGACAGTGGAGAGGGGGCTGGGAGAGGTCAGACAGCAAGACTGTAAGAGACTCCCCTGTGAGGGCTGGGAAAGAAGCAATCAGGAGGCCAGGAAAGGCAAATGTATTGTGAGAGTCTAGAGAAAGTCAGAAAGTTTTTCTGAGAAGATTAAAAAAAAAGCCAAAGAAGCAAAAGAGAGGACTCAGGAGTGCTGTAGAGTAGGACATGGGGTGCTGGGGTGCTGTAGAGCATGAGAGGAGATTGTGGGGTGCTGTAGAGCAGGGAAGTGGGTTCAGCGGTGCTGTAGAGCAGGACGGGGGCTCTGGGGTGCTGTAGAGCAGGACGGGGACTCTGGGGTGCTGTAGAGCAGGACAGGAGGCTCTGGGGTGCTCTAGAGCAGAATAGGGGTATCTGAAGTGTTGTAGAGCAGGACGGGGAGCTCTGGGGTGCTGTAGACCAGGACAGTGTTCTCTGGAGTGCTGTAGAGCAGGACAGGGGTCTCTGGAGTGCTGTAGAGCAGGACAGGGCGCTCTGGGGTGCTGGAGAGCAGGACAGGGGTCTGGGGTGCTGTAGACCAGGAAGGGGGTATCTGAAGTGTTGCAGATCAGGAAGGGCTATCTGAAGTGTTGTAGAGCAGGACGGGGGCTCTGGGGTGCTGTAGAGCAGGACAGTGGTATCTGAAGTGTTGTAGAACGTGATGCTCTGGGGTGCTGTAGAGCGGGACAGGGGCCTCTGGGGTGCTGTAGAGCAGGACAGGGGCCTCTGGGGTCCTCCAGAGCAGGACACGGGACTCTGGGGTGCGAGAGAGCAGGACAGGGGGCTCTGGGGTGCTGTAGAGCAGGACAGGAGGCTCTGGGGTGCGAGAGAGCAGGACAGGGGCCTCTGGGGTGCTGTAGAGCAGGACAGGGGGCTCTGGGGTGCTGTAGAGCAGGACAGGGGGCTCTGGGGTCCTCCAGAGCAAGACACGGGACTCTGGGGTGCGAGAGAGCAGGACAGGGCGCTCTGGGGTGCTGGAGAGCAGGACAGGGGTTTCTGGGGTGCTGTAGAGCAGGAAGGGGGTATCTGAAGTGTTGCAGATCAGGAAGGGGTGTCAGAAGTGTTGTAGAGCAGGACAGGGGTATCTGAAGTGTTGTAGAACGCGGTGCTCTGGGGTGCTGTAGAGGGGAAAGGGGGCTCTGGGGTGCTGTAGAGTGGAACAGGGTGCTCAGGAGTGCTGTAGAGCAGGACAGGAAACTTCAGGGTGCTGTAGAGCAGGACAGGGGGCTCTGGGGTGATGTAGAGCTTACGGGGGTATCCGAAGTGTTGTAGAGCAGGACAGAAGACTGGTGTATTTAGGGCAGGACAGGGGTCTGTGGGGTGCTGGAGAGCAGGACAGGGGGCTCTGGGGTGCTGTACAGCAGGACAGGGGTATCTGAGTGTTGTAGAGCAGGATGGGGGGTATCTGAAGTGTTATAGAGCAGGACAGGGGACTCTGGTGCATTTAGAGCAGACCAGGGGGCTGTCGGGTGCTGGAGAGCAGGACGGGAGACTCTGGTGTGCTGTAGAGAAGGAGAGGGGGCTCAGGGTGCTGTAGAGCCGATTAGGGCTCTGGGGTGCTGTAGAGCAGGACAGGGGCTTCTGGGGTGCTGTAGAGCAGGACAGGGGGCTCTGGGGTGCTGGACAGCAGGACAGGGGGCTCTGGGGTGCTGGACAGCAGGACAGGGGGCTCTGGGGTGCTGGACAGCAGGACAGGGGGCTCTGGGGTGCTTTAGACTGGACAGGGTTATCTGAAGTGTTTTAGAGTGGGACAGGGGACTCTGGGGTGCTGTAGAGCAGGATGGGGACTCTGGGGTGCTGTAGAGCAGAATGGGGGTATCTGAAGTGTTGTAGAGCAGGACAGGGGGCTCTGGGGTGCTCCCGAGCAGGACACGGGACTCTGGGGTGCGAGAGAGCAGGACAGGGGGCTCTGGGGTGCTGTAGAGCAGGACGGGGGTATCTGAAGTGTTGTAGAGCAGGACGGGGGTATCTGAAGTGTTGTAGAGCGGGACAGGAGACTCTGGTGTATTTAGAGCAGGACAGGGGCTGTCGGGTGCTGGAGAGCAGGACAGGGGACTGGGGTTCTGGAGAGTAGGACAGGGCACTCTGGATTGCTGTAGAGCAGGACAGGAGGCTCTGGATTGCTGGAGAGCAGGACGGGGCTCTGGGGTGCTGGAGAGCAGGACAGGGCACTCTGGGGTGCTGGAGAGCAGGGCGGGGTGCTCTGCGGTACTGGAGAGCAGGACGGGGGGCTCTGGGGTGCTGGAGAGCAGGACGGGGGCCTCTGGGGTGCTGGAGAGCAGGATGGGGGCCTCTGGGGTGCTGTAGAGCAGGACGGGGGGCTCTGGGGTGCTGTAGAGCAAGACGGGGGCCTCTGGGGTGCTGTAGAGCAGGACGGGGGCCTCTGGGGTGCTGTAGAGCAGGACGGGGGCCTCTGGGGTGCTGTAGAGCAGGACGGTGGACTCTGGGGTGCTGTAGAGCAGGACGGGGGGCTCTGGGGTGCTGTAGAGCAGGACGGTGGACTCTGGGGTGCTGGAGAGCAGGACGGGGGGCTCTGGGGTGCTGTAGAGCAGGACGGGGGCCTCTGGGGTGCTGGAGAGCAGGACGGGGGGCTCTGGGGTGCTGTAGAGCAGGACGGGGGGCTCTGGGGTGCTGTAGAGCAGGACGGTGGACTCTGGGGTGCTTTAGAGCAGGACAGGACTATCCGGGGTGCTGTAGAGCAGAATAGGAAACTTCAGGGTGCTGTAGAGCAGAACAAGGGATTCAGGGCTTCTGTAGAGCAGGACAGGGGTATCTGAAATGTTGTAGAATGGGACAGGAGACTCTGGTGTATTTAGAGCAGGACGGAGGGCTCTGAGGTGCTATAGAGCAGGACGGGGGGCTCTGGGGTGTTATAGAGAAGGAGAGGGGCTTTGGGTTGTTGTAGAGGAGAGAGGCCTTTGGGGGTACTGTAGAGCAGGATGGGGAGCTCTGGGGTGCTGTAGAGCGGGACAGGGGGCTGTGGGGTGCTGTACAGCAGGACAGAGGGCTCTGGGGTGTTGTAGAGAAGGAGAGTGGGCTTTGGGGATACTGTAGAGCAGGATAGGTGACTGGAGTGCTGTAGAGCAGGACAGGGTGCTCTTAGGTGCTGTATATCAGGACAGGAGAATCTGGGGTGCTGGAGAGCTGGACAGGGTCTCAGGGTGCTGGAGAGCAAAACAGGAGACTCTTGGGTACTCTAGAGGTGGACAAAAAACTCTGGGGTGCTGTAGAGATGGATAGGGAGCTCAGGGGTGCTGGAGAGCAGGAAGTGGGGCTCTGGGGTGCTGTAGAGCAGGGCAAGAGATTACAGGGTGCTGTAGAGCAAGACAAGATAATCTGGCATGCTGTACAGCAAGACAGGGGGATCAGGGGTGCTGTAGAGCGGGACGGGGCACTGGGGTATTGTAGAGCAGGATGAGAGATTCTGGGGTACTGTAGAGCAGGACAGAGGGCTTTGGAGTACTGTGAAGCAGGACAGGAGACTCTTGGGTGCTGTGAAGCAAGAGAGGGGGATCTGGGGTGCTGTAGAGCAGGACAGGAGACTCTGGGGTGCTGTGGAACAGGAAAACAGACTCTGAGGTTCTGTAGAGCAGCACAGGAGAATCTGGGATGCTGTAGAGCAGGACAGGAGACTCAGGGGTGCTGTGGAGCCATACAGGAGACTCTGGGGGTGCTGTAGAACAGGACAGGATACTCCAGGGTGTTGTAAAGCAGGACAGGAGACTCTGGAGTGCTGTAGAGTGAGACTGGAGACTCTGGTGTGCTGTAAAACAGGACAGGGGGATCTGAGGATGCTGTAGAGATGGACAGGGGCTTCTGAAGTGATGTAGAGTAGAACTGAAGACTCTGGAGTGCTGTAGAGCAGCACAGAAGACACTGGGGTGTTGGAGAGCAGGACGGGATACACCCGGGTGCTGTAGAGGAGGACAGGAGACTCTGGCATGCTGTCGAGCAGGATAGGGTACTAGGGGCGGGGCTGTAGAGTAGGACAGGAGACTCGGATGCTGTAGAGCAAGACATGATACTCTGCAGTGCTGTGATGCAGGACTGGAGACTCCAGGGTGTTGTAGAGCAGGACAGGAGAGTCTGGGGTGCTGTAGAGCAGGACAGGGGTCTCTGGGGTGCTGTAGAGCAGGACAGGGGTCTCTGGGGTGCTGTAGAGCAGGACAGGGGTCTCTGGGGTGCTGTAGAGCAGGATGAGGGGCTCTAGGGTACTATAGATCATGATAGGGGACTCCTGAGTGCTGTAGAGCAGAATAAGGGGCTCCATAGTGCTGTAGAGAAGGGGAGGAGACTCTAGGGTGCTGTAGAGCAGGACAGGAGACTCGAGTGCTGTACAGCACGACACTTGTCATGAGTGATGTAGAGCAGGACAGGAGACTAGGGGTACTGTGGAGGGAGACTGGAGACTCTGGTATGCTGTAGAGCAGGACAGAAGACTCTGGGGTGCTGTAGAGCAGGATAGGAGTCTGTGGGGTGTTGTCGAGCAGGATAGGGTGATTTGGGGTGCTCTATATAAGGACAGGAGACTCTGGGGTGCTATAGAATAGAATAGGAGACTCCAGGGTTCTGTGAAGCAGGACTGGAGACTCCAGCGTGCTTTAAAGCAGGACAGGAGTCTCTGGGGTGTTGTAGAGCAGGAGAGGGGGCTCACAGGTAATGTAGAGCAGGACGGGAGACTCTGGGATACTGGAGAACAGGATAGGGGACTTTGGGTTGCTGTAGAGGGAGACTCTGGGATGCTGTAACAGGACAGTAGACTCCAGGGTGTTGTAGAGCATGACAGGAGACTC